TAGAAGAACCTAGCTTGATGGAAAAATCATACTGTAGAGTTGGAGTGGCAGGGAAGACAAGAAGCTCAGTCTTTGCCAGGTTGGGCTGTAGGGGATATTTTTTCATCCATGCCGAGATGTCCGCCAGGCAGCTTGAGATCCGTGCAGCTACCGTTGGATCATCTGGTTGAAACGAGAGATAGAGCTGTGTGTCATCAGCATAGCAATGGTAGGAGAAGCCATGTGCTTGTATGATGGGACCCAGTGATGTTGTGTATATGGAGAAGAGGAGGGGTCCAAGAACTGATCCCTGAGGAACCCCAGTGACAAGTTGATGGGCTTTGGATACTTCCCCTCCCCAAGACACCCTGAAAGACCTACCAGTGAGATAGGATTCAAACCAGCGACGTGTAATCCCTGTAATGCCCATTGAAGAGAGGGCAGACAGGAGGATCTGATGATTGACAGTGTCAAAAGCAGCAGAAAGATCCAGCAGAATAAGGACTGATGATTTGGAATCAGCTTTTGCAATCCGCAAGGCTTCTGTGACTGACAGTAGTGCAGTCTCAGTTGAATGGCCACTCCTGAAACCTGACTGGTTAGGATCCAGTTTGTTGTTCTGTGAAAGAAACAATGATATCTGGTTGGAAACAACTCTTTCGAGGGTTTTCGCTATGAATGGAAGGAGAGAGACAGGTCTGTAGCTATCTGTAAGTGAAGTGTTTAATGTAGGTTTTTTGAGCAGTGGGGTTATCCGAGCCTGCTTGAATGCAGTGGGGAAGGTGCCTGTGAGGAGAGATGTATTGATGATGTGTGTGAGTGTTGGTAAAAGTGTAGGAGAGATATTTGGGTCCATTGGGCAGGTTTTGCTGTGAAAACCTGGCAACCCTGTTGTGAGCGGGATTTTTCATCCTCTTCAGGAGGGAGCCGCCAAATACAGGTTTGCATTGGTTTAATTTCATCTATAAAATCGTAACTGTGCTGTAACTCTTTATTTTATGCGACACAACATACAGGGACACGATGTCAGTCACCTAAACGATCGAGTGTCGCATCAGTCTTCTCGAGTGGCAACATTAGAAACGTCTGATGCATTGCATAAAATAAATCATTTTATTTCTAAAATACTTATCCAAAACCAACCAGCTTCCTCTTCATCCTTTGCCCATTACAGATACTCATTTTCACAGAAGCTTTTCAGTGACCTTTATCAAAGCTACTGCCGAGAGTCTGAAGACATATGTTAAATACAGCAGTTCTTGAAGCTCAGTCCTGACTCTGCTGACCTTTTAATAAGAATGTGTTTGAAAACCCTCCAGCACTCATTTCTAAATGGCCTGTTCACCCATATTTGACAATAGCTATGACTAGGAAATACTGTCCTTGATCATATGTATGATTAGGTCCTTAAAATAACCTCAAATTAACCCAGATGTGAGGCTGACTGGCAAACAGTGCTCTGTGTTCCTAGGCTGTCAAAGTAATGTTCAGAGCCATACCTCTCATTCACTGCTGATAAATTACTATGGCTGCATTTGAAGTATAAAGGCATCAAAAGCAATCTGGGTGATTAAATTGCCAGGCTTAAAGGATGCGAAACACACACACAAACAAAAACATCTGAATGCTGATGATGTGATCCAGAGCTATATCTCTAATTCACACCAGCACCGTGCATCTGTTTCTGTTATTTCCCACCAGGATCAGATAGAGGACCGGTAGCTGAATTTGAACATAAAGCAAACATTAGGTGTATTTTTGCTGATAAAGCAGATTTTCAGATGCTTTTTTCATACAACCCTTCCACAGAAATTATAAGTACACACAGCCATTAAGAACACAACATTTGCATTAGTGGTTTCGTTATGGAAAAAAAACTTGCATTATGATAAAACAATGAATGTTGTTACATTTTCATTGTACAACAATGAAATGTGTTCACATTATCTATTTATATTCTAGTCATCTCTCATACAGAAATGTGTTTCCATTTTGACAACTTCCTATTGAAACTTCTCTCTCTCCTTCAAGAGCTAACATTAGAAGTGGACGCTAAATGTGCATCACTGGGTTCTTTGGGTTTTTAAAGCCATCCCCTTTGTGAAACAATACATACAGACTAATAGGATAACTGTAACAATGATATTAAAGTTTATAATTTTCAGACTAAAATTTCTAACACTAACTCAACTTTGCATTCAAGCTAAATTTCATGAATTCAACGCTGTCCTTCAAACTGTACTCCGTATACTTTTTCTTTTCTAGAAGGTCTGCATATCAATTTCCTGTCATCAAATACCCTTAAAATCCCACATATTTCCTTTGAAAATTTCTGACTGTAACAGCATCTACAGTCTATTTATCTGTCTGTCTCTTTTAAAGGCTGTTAAAACTTAAAGGCAAAGCTTGACACACTGTTATTGCTATGGGTGCACTGATATTAACAATTTTGCCGATATCTAAGCCAATTTTTTTGGCCAATAAATGGCTGATATTACAGTTTTTCTCATTTGCTTTATCTAATTTTTCTTAGCATTTCTTAACATTCTGTTAACCGTAAGTCTTGTTTTATGGGACATTACAACTCTATTGCATGTCCACAAAATGTTATATACACACACCGAAAATGTAACTCATCCAAAACATTTATTTCATGATTCAAAACCTATAGCTATTGTGTCAGTAAATTGGCCAATGCCACCAAAATGAAAAGTTTTGTCTGTCTGAATGCTGTTTTGTGAAAGTTTTCCATGAGATACTTTTATTATTGTAACAATGCATTGCATATAAACAAAACATTCCATGTCACAGATATTTATGGAATATAAATGTCTGACAGATTTTGATATTTGAAAGGATAATTACGTTATGGCTCACACAATTAAATAATGTTTAGAAACTGTGAAGAGTATGACAGTTTCACTGAGAATTAACTCAGTTTTGATCAGCAAACCAGTTTTGTACACATTTCAAAACACATGCAATCTGCTTATATAATTAATACATTTAAATTTGGTGTAATGCTCAGTGAACATTGAACTAAGAATTTCTTTCCACTGGCAGAATCAGGACTAATATACCAGCTAATGTCATCTGAGCGACTGGAAACAAGACAATAATTATAACTGTAACACTGGATGGGACTTGCATGGGGAAAGGGGACAAAAATAGTTCTGATGAAAAATCAGTGTGCCTGTTTTGATGAAAAAGCTTTCTGTTCTGATTAGTAATAGCTGCCTGACAAATAGGGGGTTTATCTGTTTTACTGTTATCACAGTGGACAGATCCAAATGTAAATCAGCAAATAACATTTTATAGTTTCACAGATCAGATGATCATACTAGCAAATGTCTTGATGAAAAAGTGGTAAAATAATATGATATGCTGAATGTGTGGACATGTCTAAAATCTTGAATAGTTTCACACAAGTCTCTGTGGACACTAATCTGTCTTCTCTTTTAGACTATAGCTGCATGCAATATGATTGGTCTTTGCTGCTCGATAACTCCAGGTAACGAGCTGTCTAATAGAGAAGTCACAGTCTGCTTATCTTCCAGCTGCAACACTCTCTTTTAATGAGCTTTACCTAATTTCCTGCTTTTTTATGCGCTCTCCCATTTAGCCACTGCAAGACCTTTTCGCACACTCTATTTCCTGTTCAGCTCCATTTCCAGTCAACATTAGAGCTAATTCTAGCATAATTTCTCCCTGGAAGAGAGAAGTGTAAATGATAATGGATAATTTGGTCATTTTGTCAGCGATAACTTACCCAAATTGATATAAGTTGTGTGCAAAAGATACATACAAGAAAAACTTTGAATTGTTCATGTCAGACCCGGACCTTCTGCTCAGGATTCAAAGAGTCACAATGGACTCACACTGGCCGTGTGAGAGCTGTTATTCAGCTCTAGTATTCCCTCAAACAGTATGAATAGTCTTTATGCTCCATTCACTCAAAAAGATAATTATTTCATGGAGTGAACAGCAAAAAGGCACACGTGTGGCCAAAACTGAGTGCAATCGACTAGCTAATTTCTCATTACAATCTCCACATTTCTTTCTTGTTTATCTATAAGCCAGTCATAGCAGTCAAAGTGTGTATGGTTGCTAGGGTGTTTTTTGTAGTTGTGAGGGCATTGCTAGACTAGCCATCATTATTTCCTGTGCTGGTTTCTGCTTAGCCACAGGGCTTCTTTTAGACATATAATTTGCACAGAGCTTTCATACTATAGGAAACTGCTAAACATCTTTTACAGACTATGTGTGTTGTGAAGAGAAACTGATTTGCAAATTCTGCTGTTAACACAGCTTGGCTCTGTTGACACATGGCATATGAGTTTTACAACAACAACAATGATGATGATGATAATAATGATATATAGGCCAACATTTCTGCCCTGCTCTGAACAACATTACAAGCACGCAGTTTATATTAAGATGAGCCTTTCTATTATTGTGTTAATGTTAAGAAAAAATATATAACTTGTAGAGAATATATATTTTATTTTATTTTGAAATATATCGTAAAGTATCAAATGGAGTACGTTCAAAGATGGTTAACCCATTGAAGGGCTCATTAGTCTATATGCTCCAGCATCTTTTTGTCTGAACTACTTAGCCGCATGTTTGTTATCACAATTCAAATTCAATTCAAAATATTTTATATAAAGAGAGCAATCTGAACGTACACTGGCCTCCTTTATAGTCCACTATCCATAAATTGAGCGTTATTCATCTGAATTGTATTTATATGTTATCCCCTGTCAGTTCCACATGAAGCGCCTTATTTATTCCATTGCAAATATAGTACAGATAACTTTTATGTCACACACGCGCTTCCGTTCTGCTGCGTTCGAAGGACGTTTGAGGGGTTGCCATCGGTGACGCGTCCCTACGCAACCAACCCCCGCCCTGGTTCTCGCATCTCTGCTATGATTGGTGCATTTAATCCAGGCCTTCGAAAATTCGCAAGATGATTGGTCGAACCAGCTGTCAGTCTCCCACAAAAATCTATTTACAGTAGGTTGTGAGCGGATCAAGTGTATCCGTTGGGATTAAAGCTGGATCTCACTGAATCTAAAAGCCTTTCGAGGTGGATTTTGTGTATTTTACAAGCGGTTTTTGTCCGATATTTATTAGTTATTCCTCGACGGAACGTTTTAATTCGCCTATTTTCTTCTGCTGAAGCTGAAGATCGAGGGAAAAGATGTCTTCGGAAGAAGACAGAGCGAAGGAGATTCTAAAGGGGTTTAAACTGTATCCTTAAGTGATGATGGGACAGATTAGCCAACTAGCTTCAAACCTCAAACTCACACAACTTTGCATCTTTATTCAGGTGTTAATCTGGAATACGTAATTAATTTAACGGTTATGAAACCAGGACTTTAGTATTGATGCTGTATGAGATGCTGGTAACAGTTAGCAGGACAAACTGGGAGGTGAAGTAGTGTCATATTATGTTATGCTTTCTTGGTCATTATGACTGAGGCTTGATTTCAGTTTCAGCAATATCCATCTATAAATCCAAATGCCTTTTATTTGAACAAACAAACTACAGGCTTTTTTTTTTGCGTCTGTGGTGGCAGTCGACTCATTTTGGATGTATCAACACTTTTAAACATCCAGTTGAGTTTTTAAACTGTTTTCCTTAAGTTTTGTTGCGGTGTATATGAGAAGTTGATTTGCTATGTGGTGTGTGAATGAATAGATGGTGTAATTTCTCTAATCCAGATTACGTCTGTGTTATTCTATAAATTGTACAAATATACATGTTTTTGTTAATGTGCATACCTGGATTCATGAGTTACTGGCATATGAATTGTAATTTACCAGTGCAGTTAATCATACCGAAGTAAGTAATTTCAAAGCAGTCTGGTGGTGTTTATTAGATTATAGACACTTTCAGGTAAAATTCCCACTAAGTTTGACATTTCTGTGAGCATATCAGCATCAGTAACTAACTGTGGGATGTTGTTACTTCCTTCAGTTGAACGTTTAGCTAATGTTCACATGGGTTTCAGGATACTATGTGACTATCAGGCACCTGATTCTTGGGATCAGGTGCATTAGACAGGTGAAATCTCCTCACACAGTTTGTGCCTGCCATCACGATTACATAACATTGGCTAGTGTTTCTATAATAGGCTCTGTAAATCTGACGAGAATAATCACAGTAGCACCAGAACCCTCTGATGGGGTGAAAATGGCCACGTCTGGAACATTTGGACTGCCTTGTGTCAGTCCTGATGTACACTGTTTTACAAATATTTCTTCACGTAGACATGGGTCTACCCTGTGTGACCTTCTCTGGGAAAGCAAGGGTTTGTTTTACAGGCTGGTAATTCTTAAATCCTTGATTTGAAAGGACAGGGATTTGCTGCCTTGCGCTCCTCGCATCCAACTGCTTTGAGGCAAAGCTGTGGAAAATGATTAAAACGTATAAATGTTTGTCTTTTAATGAAAGGTTTGTGAATGATGGTGTTGAAAGTCTGTAAGGAAATATTTTGGATTTACACTATTGTTCAAAACATTTGGGGTCATGAAGTTTTTTTTTTTTTAATTAATTAATAATTTTATTCAGCAAAGCTACAAATTACAAAGCAAAGTATTACATTTCTCAAAACTGACAGTATAAATGTTACAAAAGAACTTTTTTGAACTCTGTTTATCAAAGAATCCCAACTAAATGCATTTTGGTTTCTACAAAAAATATTAAGCAGCGCAACTGTTTTTAACAATGTTAATAATAAGAAATGTTTCTTGAGCACCAAATCAGCATATTAGAAAGATTTCTGAAGGATCACGTGGCACTGAAGACTGGAGTAATGGCTGCTCAAAATTCAGCTTTGCCATCACAGGAATAAATACAATTATAATAGTATTTCACAACATTACGGCTTTTACTATATTTTTGTTTAAACAAATGCAGCCTTGTTGAGCAGAAGAGACGTCTTTCAAATACAACCCCAAACTTTTGAACGGTAGTGTACGGTAGAGTGTATGGATAAAACATTCAGCTTTCGTTTTAGGTAGAATATTGAAACTTTGTACTGTAGTAGTTGTTCAGAGTAAACTGGAGCATGGGCTGATATGCCATTGATATCACTACCTATTTAGAAACATGCTTTTATGCATAATGTACATTATTGCATTGGCCCTGCACATAATTTTAGAGCTCAGCTTTTTTTTTGCACTGAAGACTGGAGTAATGGCTGCTCAAAATTCAGCTTTGCCATCACAGGAATAAATACATAATAAAAATAAATATATAATAGTATTTCACAACATTACGGCTTTTACTATATTTTTGTTTAAACAAATGCAGCCTTGTTGAGCAGAAGAGACGTCTTTCAAATACAACCCCAAACTTTTGAACGGTAGTGTACGGTAGAGTGTATGGATAAAACATTCAGCTTTCGTTTTAGGTAGAATATTGAAACTTTGTACTGTAGTAGTTGTTCAGAGTAAACTGGAGCATGGGCTGATATGCCATTGATATCACTACCTATTTAGAAACATGCTTTTATGCATAATGTACATTATTGCATTGGCCCTGCACATAATTTTAGAGCTCAGCTTTTTTTTTTTTTTACTAAATTTGTGTCATCTTAGTATAGCACAGCTCTTTGTAGCAGCATGAATCTGGTACAATGTAGTTACGCAGCACAAATGGATTTTCAAAGGCTCGTCAATGCAATTTTATCTCCAAGCTTCATCATATTTGCCCTGTGTAGTTGGTTTTTTTTTTCTTCTTCCCAGTGTGCCCCAGAGGTTACTACTGTGTGCAAAGCACCATACCCTTGAGTGGCTACAAAAAAAAAAACCCACTGACTTAAATGATGAAAAAGACAGATATTGTATTGTGTGCCAAACTATGTTTGTTAGAAGCATGTAGAGATTTTGAAGGTGTGTGAATTTTGTGTGCTTGTTGCCATGTCTTTCAAGGCTAGTTTTCTGTTCCTCTTCCAGGAACACAGTACTGTGTGTGTATTTTTTGGTAAATCATTAGAACTAACTAACATAGCCTTCACTGCCAACATTTTTAATAGGACAAAATGTGATGCGTTTGATGTACTGATTTTTTTAATGTTGTTATTATTATTATTATTATTATTAAACTACACCGTTACTGTAGCTATTTTGCACCAGTAACAACAGACTGGAATTGGCAACAATATGCAACAATGGATGACTTTTTAAAAATGAATGTGGCTTCCATGAAAGCATTGGCGCCGAAGGGACTAATTACCTCGACAGTGACGGTGTTTGTGAGTAAAAGGGTCTCTCCCCTGCGACTCTCTCAGTGTGCTCAGCAGGTGAGATCCCACAGACATCTGTCACCAATAATCTCAAATGCAGTCGCCTGGTTCATCAGATACAGAGCCTGACACTTTAAGGGAGTAGTTACTCATTTTTAGTGTCTTCAGCTGTTGGCATCTAAATTCAGGGTGAAATATATCACAGAATATAGCACATAAAATTGATTGGAAATACAAGAATCCCTTACTAAGTCTGGAATTTGCTTAATTGATGTTTAAGCACATTAATATGAGTGTAAAATGTAGTTATTTTTGTAGTCTATACATTGTGTATGAAGATATGGGATCTGTTCAGCAAAGTTAACATTGAATAATTTAATTTGGTTCAGTTTGGTCATTTTGTAAAAGGAATATATATATATATAGATCAGCTTCTTGGCTAGACTGAGAATGAATCCTTGGTCATGCTTCTGGTTATTTGTGTCTTGGGATTCATTTCAAGTAATTTAATGCTTCAGAATAGTTCCATATAAAATCGAGTCTCCATAAGAAAGAGAAGAACTAAATAATAAATAAGAAAATAAAATTAATATATTATATTGATATAAATATTATTAATATAAATAAATCATTTTATTATGGCTGCAGTGTCAGTAATATTTTCTTTTTGATGAAGGATTTTTATGATAAGCTTTTTATTCCTTCAGGAACAATTTAGGGATTTGCATTTGTTAAGGAGTATTTATGTGTCACTATTAATGCTTGAAAGGTAGATTAGGATTAGTAATACATGTAGCACACTTATGCAGCCCTGACCAAGGTCTCATAGGGTTGGTAACTAGGGCCTGTAATGACACATGCAGCCTTGTGTGAGTGTGCTTTAGCAGCCTGAAAGGCTCATACAGGTGGTCTGAAGATGAAGAGGTCAGATGTCATTGACACAGAGTACAAGCCATTGTCACAAACCATTGTTTAACAGACAGATCAGGCTGTTTTTAGACTTCAAGTGTGGTCTGTTTCTGTTAGCTATGCTGGTATTGTTTGCATTTGTGATTTATAACAAATTGATGCTCGATGTAATAATTATAGAAACTCTTGAATTTAGACATCATTTCAAGGAATAGTTCACCAATCATGTGTTTCAAGAAATACTCACTTTCTTCCGTGGAACATAAAAAGAACGAGCAAGATATTTAGTGAATTTAAACTTGAAGTCACCATGTAATCAAAATTGAAAATTCTTATTTTTTAATGGAATACTGTAGTTTATTATAAATAATTTATCTGTGCACTTCATTATTTTTTACAAAATTAATGTGCCCTCGTAATCTTTAATCAAAAACCTTAACCTCCCCTCCCCCTCAAAACGACTCATCTTCTCTTCTGGTCACGAGCTATGGTGCAAGGGCGGAGCTAGTGACGTGAGGGGCAAACGCTGGGATAAACGACAGCGGGAAAGCTGAAGCTGATGCTTCACTTTATAGCACTGACACTAGTCATGAGGGGGTATTACGACATTACTCTTAGGACATCACAAACTAATTTTTTGCTCAGTCATTCAGGCAGTCTCTCTCTCTCTCTCTCTCTCTCTCGTGAGTTTTGTTTTGTGCCGTTGATCATCGTCGTCATCCTTAATAAATAAAACATTTATTCATGCTTGGATGTCGGCTGTGAATCTAGAGAGAAATCCCCCACCACTAACTGCAAACTGCCATTCAGATCTGCCTCCATTTTGTTAGCAATGCCCCAGCTTCCAACGATCCAATCAATTCCCGAAGGAAATCTCTCGTTTCAGATGCCGTTTCACTCGGTTATACGTCACAGTAGTGAAGAAAAGACGATCGCAACTTCCGTTTCATGCCGACTTTAAAGTGTGTTCCTCACACAAATCTATTATACGGCTTCAGAAGAAAGCTATACTGTGCAAGTGTCTTGGATTACTTTTATAGTGCTTTTTTGTTGTTGTTGTTGTTGTTCTTTTTGGAGTTTGATGACTGGTGAACATCTCTTTTTGTGAAAGAAAGTCATACAGGTTTGAAATGACATGAGGTAAATGATGACACAATCTTCATGTTTATGTGAACTGTTACTTGAGTTCCAATGAGCCTAACACAAAATTATTGATTTGGAAAAGTTTTATCTCCCATTGACATTGTTTGAGTTGATCTTCTTGTAAAATGCCATTTTCTGGAAAGTTGGCCCTGACATCAGGAGACATTTTCATTGCCAGTCCGTTCAGCATGCCTTAACTTGTCTCCAGAAACTGGATGAATCTTAGAGATGCAGAGACAGGGAAGGTTCTCTGGCAGGGAACTGAAGACCTCTCCCTTCCTGGGGTAGAACATGAAGGTTTGTGGTTCTCAGCATTACCTTTCATTAAAGATTTAAACTATTGACTCGATTAAGCTACGCCAAATCTTCTCTTATGTCCGCTACTTCACTGCTCCTTTTAGTGATCTCAGCGAGAGGTCAAGATCAGTCTTCTGTTCTGAATTTAGTACAGAATGTGCCATGTCTGGTAACTAATAGTTTTGATTTTGTTTTCCAGCTCGGGTTCCTAAGAAGATCCTGAAATGTAAAGCTGTCTCCAGAGAGCTGAATTTCTCTTCAGTAGAAAAACTGGAAAAATTCCGACTGGAGCAAAAAGTTTTCTTTAAAGGCCAGTGCCTAGAAGGTTGTTCTAATTATTTCTTGCGCATTGCACTTTTGTGATAAGAAATAGCAATGATGATGGAAGCGCAAAATTAGAGCTCCCTTTTGTAAAATGGTTGGTTCTGAAATATCTTTAAAATGATTTAACACAGAGATGTCTTCTCGAGCAAGGAGCTCCATATAAATGATTTTATTCATTATCCATTAACAAAAAAGTACATTATCAATTTGAAATCCATTTGAAATCCTGTTAAAACTGAATGTCACAAGACTGTATTGTTTAAAAAGGAGTAGTACACTACCTTTGTTTACTTTGGTAAATCAACACTGAATACTAACCATATATTCTCATCTTAGCTACAGAGTTTTTAAAAGAATAAACATTTGAACTAAACACTGCTAAAATTTGTCAAATATAAACGTGATCATAATATTGCATTCATTCATTACATCCACAGGTACAGGTAACTTGTGAAACATTTGAACATTTAAGTACTATCCCTAATATTCTTGAATATCCTGAACAGTATAGTTTAAATGCAGTGTTCTAATATAGAGATTTCTTTCAATAAATAATTTATTATGCATTTCACAATGTAACAGTCGGCCATTTAAATTTTGATCTATGCTTGTCTTCATGATTTTGTGGCATTAGACTGATATAAAGTATTTATATTCAGATTTTACTTGACAAGTTATTTTATATGTGTAATTTGAAAATCTTTTTTATTTTGGCTCATATGAACGTGTGTGCACAAACAATGCTCTTTTGAGACACGATTAACTATATAACTTGAACAAATGAATTGAAAAGACTTTTAAAAGCTTGTTTGTGAATATGTTTTCATCTTGTTAGCCTGCCTTAGTTAAAGTGCGTAAGGACTATTTACATCACAAAATGCTTACACATGTACCTTGTCTTTTTTTCAGAGTGGTTTTTTGAGTTTGGCTTTGTGATTCCTAATTCTACAAACACATGGCAGTCTTTGATAGAAGCTGCACCAGAGTCACAGATGATGCCTGCAAATGTCTTAACGTAAGATTTTCTTTTTCTACATATTTGATATCCATAAAAGTTGGATTAATCATGGATCAAATTTCTTCTCTTGCAGTGGTAATGTTGTTATAGAGACCAAGTTTTATGATGACGACCTTCATGTCAGCACATCCCGGGTACGACTCTTCTACGTCTGACACATGGAACCTTTCGTTTAATTACTCCAGAGGATGGACCCACACTTCCGCAAGTTTCAGTTGCCAGAGAAGACACTCTCCGTACTGAGTATTTCTTCTGAGGCGCTTTAAAGGGAACATTTCAGTAAAACCCAGTTTCAAGACAAATGATCACACCAGTTTTATGGCAGATAAGGACTTGTACATAAGAGCAATCATGCTCATGACAACCTGGTTGTGTAAATTACCTGTTTGTATATTTTTCTTCTCCTCCTTCTGTATTTCAATCCTGCAATGTACACTGCTTCCTTATCAGCTGTTTTTAAAACGTTTTCTCCCAGTCTGTGTGGTTATTCATGGTCTATTTTTTTTTAGTTAAACTGTAAGATAGGATTTGTTTTAAAATAAATTATGAAATTAAGGATTAAAATATTCATATTCATATTTTGCCTCTTGCATTTCTCCCTTAAGTATTTATCAGCAGAATGAGTGATCTCATAATTGTTTTTTGTGGCCAATTTTTGTCACACATTGCATTTACAGAAATATGGCAGCTTTAACATGACATAAAATAAGTGGAATATAAGAACAAATTTAAAAAAAAGTTCAGAGGTTTTAAAACTTTCCATTATTCCCATATAATAAACTGGGCACATATCTTTATCCAGTTAAAATATCTTAATGGTTGTCACATCAAATTTGTTTTCATTTTAAATATATAGTCTTGGATATGACCAAGCATATAATTACTTTATATAGACTGGCCGTTCTCTATGTAGCAATGTCCAAAACGTGGAAATAACTGAGAGTACTACATTACCCAGAATTTCTTCCGGTTGGAACGGAAGTTGTTCGTGACGACCTTGGGTAGCTGCTGCAAGCATGGCGAATAAAGAGCCTAACGTGAGTATCTTAATTCTTAAGAAATTTTATTTATAACGTTAGAATTGTTTAAATGCTCATTAATAAAAGGGACAACTTTTTAGAAGCAGTCATAATCAGCTTGGCAACAGAAATCGGAACAGAAAAAGTGTTACACAGTAACTGTTACATGATCTGATCTGCTCTCATACACTAAAGCACATTTTAAGATGAAACGTGCTGTCAGACCCCTTAACAAATTTAAATATGAATAATTTTTGAATAGCATGCTTTGATTTTGAATACCTGTGCTGAAGTCCTGACTCCTGAAACCGGCTGCTCTTAAAGCTTGTTGGGCCTTAGACGTTTAATATCACCTGTAACAAATGGCTGTAACGTTAGGTCTAAAGTTGACTTGATACATACTAGGTAGTTAGTGTAGACGCACATTAAATGTAATGGTTTTTTTTCATGAAAGATTGCCTAATTTGTTTAACACAGTACCTGCTCTTCCATGATCTGTATCAGAATGTAAGCTAATGAAGTCGTTTCCCAGACAGGGATTATTATGATATGTTATTATAAAAAACGGAAAATTCTAGACATGATGAGTTATGCCCATTAAGTGTCAAAAGGTGGCGCTGTCATATCATTTAGCCTAACCCTTTTGGTAAGACCTTGTCTGAAGATTATACTACTGGTGTAACGGTCATATTGTCAGTGGAAGTGAATATGTTTATTTTGTAATCTCACAGAGGTTGCTCCAGAACCTGAGGGATCTCGCCGGACGCATGTCCTCTGGCTCAAAGGGTGCTGGACTCGGACTGAAGTTATTAATTGGAGCAGGTGCACTTGCTTATGGAGTCAAAGAGGCCACATATACAGGTGCATTCAGTGTTACAATAGTATAAAGAATTACATTAAAGTGAAAAAGTATTAGGAGTAGAGCTCAGATGTCTAGTGTAGTGAATTTCTGCACTACTATTCAGTTTGGGATCAAGATTTAGTTTTTGAAAGAAATTCATATTTTTATTCCGCAAGGATGCATTAAATTGATTAAAAGTGACCGTAAAGAGATTTACAATGTTACAAAAGATTTATTTCAAATAAATGCTGTTCTTTTGAATTTTATCAAAGAATCCTGAAAACAAGTCACGGTTTCCTCAAATATATTAAGCTGCGCAACATTTTGTTTTTTTTACTTTAATTATAATAAATTGGCATATTAGAATAAGTTCTAAAGGATTGTGTGACACTAAAAACTGGTGTACTGGCTGCTAAAAAATTTAGCTTTGCAGGAATAAATTACATAAAAAGAAAACATATTAAATTGTAAAAATGCTTCACAATATCACAGTTTTTTCTGTATTTTTGATCAAGTAAATGCAGCCTGGTTGAGCTTAAGAGATTTTTGGACAAAATATTTTTGAATGTTAAACTTTTGAACGGTGATGTATCTGTGCAACATGTACTTTTGAAATGAATATTAAAATAAGAAGACTGGTAATGTCATCACTCACACTAATTGTCTTGTCTTTAGTGGAGGGTGGTCAGCGAGCAATTGTCTTTAATAGAATTGGAGGGATGCAGATGGACACAGTCCTCTCTGAGGGTCTCCACTTCAGGCAATTTTTTATGACTTATATACTTGTTCTGTGTGGAAGCATGTTTAATCTCACCATAATAAAAAAGGAATGCTGTACCTTTAAACTGTAATGTAAAAAACGACATTGTTCTTATAGGATACCATGGTTTCAGTATCCAATCATATATGATATCAGAGCCAAACCAAGAAAAATATCATCTTTAACAGGAAGTAAAGGTAAAATTTTTTAATTTTATTTCATTGTCATGATCATGCTTTGTTTACTTCCATTTTAACATAGTCATAATGTGTTCAGCTTGATTATAGTTCATGTAATGTTGCTGTAATGTGGTCAGACCTGCAGATGGTGAGCATCGCATTGCGTGTGCTGTCACGACCTGTGGCTTCCAACCTTCCTGTCTTGTACCAGCAGCTGGGGAAGGACTACGATGATCGTGTGCTGCCATCTATTGTAAATGAAGTTCTGAAGAGCGTGGTCGCCAAATTTAATGCATCCCAACTAATTACGCAAAGAGCCCAGGTTTGTATTTCCTCACAATCTGTTACTCAGTTTTGAAAGTCTTCCACATATTCTAGAAATGAACCAAATTTCCAGGATCCATAATCAAATGAAGAAAATCTCCAAATTACATTCTACAAATGACTATATTCTTAATCTTTCTTTGCCACTGATTTCATGCAGGTCTCTCTACTCATCCGACGAGATCTTTTTGAACGCGCTAAGGACTTCAACATTATTCTCGACGATGTGGCCATCACAGAGTTGAGCTTCAGCAAGGAGTACACAGCAGCTGTGGAGGCCAAACAAGTTGGTAGGTAAAGTTAGGTTCTTGCAACACGTAACATATGTGGACATAATAACTGTAATAAAACGTGTTTATGGTCTTCCAGCCCAGCAGGAGGCACAAAGAGCTCAGTTCTTTGTGGAGAAAGCAAAACAAGAACAGAGGCAGAAAATCATCCAAGCTGAAGGAGAGGCCCAGGCCGCCAAAATGGTATGAGTCTCTTATAAAAAATGATTTCTTTTGCCACTCACAGGTCCAAAAGTCATGAGTATTTTATTATATTATATTACTGTATTACAGTATTATTTTTAGGGGTGCTCCGATCAGGATTTTTTAGGCCGATCACAGAAAGCAGTATCTGCCGATACCGATCACCGATACCGATCTTTTTAAAGCCTACTTTTTATCATTTATAACTATTTATAGTGATACTCCAATCAGGATTTTCAGACATTTATTCAGGGCCTGAATTAGATTTTTGAAAATGAGGGGAATTCCCCCTCTTAGGTGTCTCTTGTGAGAGGAGAAGCAGCTTTCACACAGGATTCCACTATTGATCCGTGGCTGTTTACCACAAACACAACATTTATCCATTAGTTTGATTTCAAATCCAAACATTGTCACCGAAAATGCTTTTTCATCATTGTGATTTTTTTTTTTTACACAGTACAGTAATACAATCTTTCACAGGCATGTTTAAACACAATAAATATAAGCAACACATTATTCAATGCTTTTTACTTTTGCATTTACTTCTAGATTTATATATTAAGTTAAGCAAGTGGCAAAACATTTAAACTACTTTTCTTACGTTATCACAAACTTATCATTGACAGAAATAGTCGTCTCTACTGCCTTTCCTTTTGCATTTCAATCTTTATTACAAGCAATCCTGCGGTTCATAAAGAACTTTGTTTTCCTACCTCCACGAGTGCCATCTATTATTGCCTTCTTTATCTAAAAGTGCTCTTTCCCCTTAAACCTAGCCAAAAAGCCATATGTGTTGACTGTGAAACACAGTAGAGTTTAATCATATGCATTTATGGTGTAATTACTACATTTTCGTGTCAGCCATGTTCATATTTACTGCAAAAAATGCGTTGTTACTTTTAATTTAGCGCTTGCAGCGCAGTAAAAATAGGCTCGGTGTGGACACGATCTCTGCACTGCTGCAGACGCACCACTCGTGGAACGCACTGCCGGACAGCAACCGTGTGCAGTGTGAATGCTTTAATCCGTTAACATGAGCACGGAAAAAATACGCACCACATATGTGCTGCAAACGGAGTAATGTGAACCTGGCATTATGTGCCTGCGAGTGTGCATGAGCGCACGGTCTCCAAGAGAGCGCTGAATGGATAAACACTGGCAAGAATTAAAAAGTAATGCAATTTATAAACTTTCATGAAGATGTGACACTGCCTAGATTGTGCAAGTGACAATTCCTGTGTCAACTGTGCAGCGTGCAGCTTATAGACAGACGCGATGTGGTGATTTGAAGACATTTGCGTATTTTGAGAGAGAGCGCCCGCGCTGATTCACTCACACTGTTTGTGAAATAACGTCTCACACAAGGTTTTCAAATTACTTTATAAGTTATTTAATTAAGAAATATGAAGGTGAGTACCTCACCTTCAGCATTATAATTATTTCACCCGCGCCGGACTGAGACAGTGCCGCTTCATGTCGTGCCAAACCTCTCACTGCAGCGTCATCAGCTTGAGATCGTTTGTTTTTTAGATCGTCCTTTTTAGAGACCGCTGATCAATCATCCCAACGTGATTATCGGCCGATAGTGATCAGTAGCCGATCAATCGGAGCACCCCTAATTATTTTGTAATATAAATATTATTAATGTGTCTTTTTTAGAAAAGTATTATATGAGGAATGTATTTTGGTTTGGTCTGATCTAATTCACAGTTAGGGGAGGCCGTCACAAAGAACCCTGGATACCTTAAACTCAGAAGAATCAGAGCAGCGCAGAACATTGCCAAAACGGTACAGTGTTATTATTCACTTCATTTTATTTATTTATAATTTTTATTGAGTTTTCCTGATGTAAACGGTACGCTTTGGAAAAGGGTGTGTTTTCCACCCATGTAAATATTTGATGTTCACTAGCAGTTCTGCC